TTTCCATTTCTGTCGATCCTTCCTTTTCTTCCGCGGATATCTTCTATTTATCTTCAAACTTGCATTATGTCTTCTATTTGCGAGTAAACCGTCAAAACGTTACCGCGTCTTTAGGTTTAATTTCGTTAATGTTGCGAGATGGGTTTTTATTGTGTTTTAGGACCTTTCGGGCCGTTTTACGATAAAAACCGTTTTACGATTTTAACGAGACCGTTTCCTGATCCGATGCCGCTTTTTACGATTTTCTCGACGTTTTTTATTAAAAACGCGTTTTTTAAAATCTTAACGAAAATTCTCGGACAAATCGTATAGTTTAGGCGATGTTTGGTGTTTCGTTTAACCGTTGCCGTTTTATACGATTTCCTCGAGTTCTTTTCGAGAACACCAAGTTTTACGGTTTTTATCGTAAAACTCGAACGATAGGACGGATCGAGACGAAATGGGAGACATTTCGGCCGTGGTTCGGAACGCGTCCGTGTCGAAGGACGTAAGTTTCGAATCAGGGATGCGGGAGATCGAGGCGCGGGATATCCGGGAAGTCTCTAGTTCGCCCAACGGCGAACTAAGCCGGCTCGCTTAGTTCGCCGGTGGGCGAACTAGTCGTGACGGGACTAATTCGCCCACCGGCGAACTAAGCCAAGCCGGCTTAGTTCGCCCACCGACAAACTAAGCCGAGCTGACTTAGTTCGCCGGTGGGCGAACTAGTCGAGTGTCTCCTAGTTCGCCCATCGGCGAACTATGCCAGCTTGGCTTAGTTCGCCGGTGGGCGAACTAGTCGTGACTAGTTCGCGTTTTACGGCAGTTTCGGTTTTTTGCGCTTTTGTAAAACGATCTTCGAGTTTTATAAAACGATTCTTGAGTTTTATAAAACGATTCTTCGAGTTTTATAAAACGATTCTCGAGTTTTATAAAACGATTCTCGCGTTTTATAAAACGATCTTCGAGTTTTATAAAACGATTCTTCAAGTTTTATAAAACGACTCTCGAGTTTTATAAAATGATCTTCGAGTTTTATAAAACGATTCTTCGAGTTTTATAAAACGATTCTCGATTTTTATAAAACGATTCTTCGAGTTTTATAAAACGATTCTTCGAGTTTTATAAAACGATTCTCGAGTTTTAGTAAATGACTTTTGCGGAAAGTAATGATTCTAGAAGTTATCGTAGACGTTGATTTCGAGATTACGGTTTTTGACACCAACAGTTAGCCCCCCAGCCTGCAATTTCTTGAGGAAATTTTGCGGGCGGATGGAGTTAGTTTTAAATCGGAATCTACGGCTAAGATTTGTCTCGAGGGAGAGCTCTCTTTTTTTCTATAAGTATTGGATCATTACTTCTCTCTAGAAAAATTTTAAGATGTCTTCTTCCCAAGGTGATCAACAAAATTGTGAGGTCCCATCCAATGACAACCCTACGGCACATCCGCAGGATGCTCGGGTTTCTGAGTTTCTCTTGTTTCAAGACGAGATGGACCGTAGCGATGCTGTGTCGGGCGACGTACCTTCGGTAGATCCATCCGTCATTGCGGGAGAGTTCAAGGCTACTTTGGACGAAACGACCGATACGGTAGCGGATTCCTCGACGGGTGCTACTTTTGAACCGTCGGGTTCGTCCGCTGTTTCGCCCCTCCTTGCGGCCGAAAACGTTGCTACTTCTGCTGAGGTCGGAATAGCCGTAGCTCCCACCACGGTGGAGTCGGTCGTGTCTCCGACCGTGGGCGAACCGGTTGCGACTCTTACCGCTGTTGAATCAGTTACGACTCCTGCCGTAGTTGAACCGGCTGCAGCTCCTATTGCGGCTGATCCAGTCACGATTCTGGGGCCTCCTGCTCCGGCCAAGAGGGTGATTGTCCTGGGACTTCCGGCACTTAGCGCGACGCTGCCCGCTTCAGCGAAAGGCCGCAAGAGAACTCGTCCGAACCCTGATGCTCCCGCGAGAAAGAGAGCCGTGAAGGGTTCCGAGACCGGAGCTTTGTCTAGCAAGACACCGAGGTTGATGTCGATGTCGCAGCAGCCTACCAAGGTACACGGTCGCAAACATACGTTTTTAAGAATATATTCGTAGCTGACCATCTTTCTTGGTTTTTCCAGTTTGTTTCGTTGATCGATGGGATGATCAAAGAGTGCGGGAGAGGTCAGCTCAGCTCGAGGGGAAACTGAAGGTGATAGAAGATGTGCGTTCCGCGGAGGTGTCTCGACTCGAAGCTTGGATTAGCGATCTGGAGCGTGATCTCGGAAAGACCGCGGTCTCTCTGATCAAGGCGAAGGATGAAAAGAAATCCAAGGCTTCAGAGCTGCGCAGGCTTCAGCGCAAGATGAAGAGTTTCGAGGAATCAGCTGTCCGTGTGACTGGAAGATCTATTCCTATCGAGGGAAGTGATTCCGATCCGACTCTTGCTGCCGAAGACGTACCTCAGCCTGATGCGGACAAGGGTGACGACCCGGAGGTTGCTGTCGGGGTGAAGGTAATGCGATGGATGAGGATGAGGCTCCGTGCGCGGAGAATGTTTGAAGTTGTAGTCTCTTACGAGACTTTTAAAAATTAGATTTTTATGTATTTAGCCGAGGGCGGCTTGTGTGATTCTTCGGGACTGGCCTTTTATGGCTTTGAATCCCTTGTTGCTTCGGCAACTTTTTATTTTCGTAATGGACAATCGGTTTTTATTTAAACCTTCTGTTTTGAGTTGATATTGCGGGAGGTCCGCGAGTTGTCGTCTCGCATTCCGTTCCCTTAGTGGATCGCCTTGTTCATTTGCCCATTTTAGGATGTTTAGTAAATCGAGTGAGCGTTTAGATATAGACGAAGAGACATGCCTTTAGGATCTCGATTCATGCCTTGAGACGTTAGCGACCAGTGTGCTGGGTTTAGGGAAAGACCTAGGTTTACTTTCGGATTAAGGCTGTGCGATGACTAGTCGGCTTTCGTTTTGCCCGTTGCGATTTTAACCTGATTCCATACCGATTTAGAATCCGCGATAGGTTCTCGGCTTATACGATTTGTCTGGTTGGAACCGAGAATCTCACCGGGAACAATTTCTAAGTTGCCCGGAAGTGCTGACCAAAAGCTTGGATTTCATTTATAGCGCTATTACCCTTGTGTCGGGTGTTCGTGAGCTATCTCTGCAAGATAACTTAAGTTTGTTTAAGACTGTTGCGAGTTCGTTGTGATCAGCAACGAACTATTTTTAAGCGATAGATGTTTGCGTAGTTTGGGCCTTCGCGAAGGATACGTATGTTAAGAAGTTTTGCGTATTTTATAGTCGCGGACGGACTGTTTATTGTTTTTGAAGAGGAACGTTTTTCCGAACATTGGCGACGTCTCGCTATATTCAAAATTTCGTTTTTTCTTTCGATGCGTTTGATGAAAAAGTTTGAGAAATTTTGAGTTTTTAAATTTTGGGAGTATACGAGTATACGTATACTCACCTACTCCCCCCCCCTTTTGAACGAGGGGGACAGCTGGTCTTGTCTTGAGACAAGATGCCTACGTTCCCTTTCGAGGGGTTCAAGCCGTCTCGTAGTTCAGTGTTCTGCGGGCGTGCCGCCTAGTGATAGTATCTTTTGAGGTGCATCGCGTTCCAGGATCTGGGAATTTTGATGCCCTGCATGTTTGCGATTTCGTATGCTCCGGGTCGGACTACTTTTATGACCTTGTACGGTCCTTCCCAGTTTGCTCCTAGTTTATCGGCGTTCGTTCTGCGGTGTTCTGGAAGAATTTTCGTAAGACTAGCTCGCCTTCGTGAAATCTGCGGCTACGTACGTTTGCGTTATAGTACTTTGCGGCCGCTTGCTGATAATTTTGAATTCGAACGAGTGCCTGATCCCGCCGTTCGTTAATCAGGTCAAGTTCGTTGAGAAGCATTAGGTTGTTTTCCTCTTCTCTTTCTGGGAGCAGTCTTCTACGTACTCCTGGAAATTCGACTTTCGCGGGAATCATGCATTCCGTTCCGTATACAAGAGCAAAGGGAGTTTCGCCCGTTGCTCGCCTCGGGGTTGTGCGGTGCGACCATAAAACTCCTTCGAGTTCTTCGGCCCACTTTCCCTTTTTGGCGTCGAGGCGTTTTTTGAGGCCGTCGAGGATAGTTTTATTAATAGTCTCGGCTTGTCCGTTGCCTTGAGGATATCTTGGAGTCGATTTGGTCAATCGTATTTTCCATTTTTCGCAAAAAGCTTCGAATCTAGTCGAGATAAATTGGGATCCATTATCTGTCACGATCTCGTATGGTACTCCATGTCTACAGACTATGTTTCTCCATACAAAACTTTCTACCTGGGCATCTTTGATGCTTGCGTAAGAGTCGGCTTCGACCCATTTAGAGAAGAAGTCAGTCAGAACAAGAAGGAAGCGTTTTTGTTTTGATGCGTGCATTGGCCCAACTATATCCATTAACCATCGCATGAACGGGTACGGTGCCGAGATAGATGAAAGGAACTTGGCGGGTTGGTGAATAGTCGGAGCATGCCGCTGGCATTTCTTGCATTTTCACGAAAAATCTTCGCAATCTTTTACCATCGTTGGCCAGAAATATCCGTGGCGCCTTATTTTTATTGCGAGGGATCTTCCGCCAGAATGGTTTCCACAGGATCCGGAGTGCACTTCCTGCATAACCCGCCGTGCTTTCTCCCCTTGCACGCAAGTCATCAGTGGTCCGGAGAATCTCCATTTGTAAAGTTCTCCATCCATTACGACATACCGCGCGGCCTGGGTTTTTATCTTTCGGGCCGTCCATTTCTCCGGTGGAAGTTCTCCGTTGGTTATGTATGCGAGAATCGTTTCAAAAATCTTTAAAAATCTGGTATATTAGAATTGATATTTGATAAACTACTTTGAAATCTAATAATATTGAAAATATTTTGAACTCTGAATTATGATTCTTCTAGTCCTTTTAAATTTGTGTTGGTACAGTTTCTCAATTACAAAAAAATAAATCCAAATTTTATAGTTTTAGATGAGATTATAAGATTCGTTTAGTTTTATAATTACCTAAAAATAGTAAGTTCTCAATTCCCCTATAATAATCATCTAAAAATCAAATCACTTCAATTTTTTTATTGATTTAAGATGAAATTTGATTAGTATAGAGTACAGTCCTTATTTATCGACCATAGCAGTGAAGAGTTCAAGTTCTTCAAGAGTGCCATAGACATCGTAAATGTAAATGTCGTCGATGGTCGTAATAAGTACGTGGACTACTGTCAGGATCCGTCGTAAAAATCCAAATTGAGGTTCAGATATTATTCCAACGGTCCAAAAATAATGCTCGACTAGTCTGTCTCTTACAAAAGGAAGTTGATTAACCAAACATGTTTCCTTCCACCAGCTTCATATAATTAAAAAAAAAAAAAAGAGGATTAACAAGAGTGTTTATAATAAATATCAAGGGATATAGGGAAAATCAGTATACATATATATTTCTTTTACTAGTCTAAAGAAATACCTTGAGACGTATTTGAGTTCTTCTTGATGACAACTTTGTACAATATTGAAATCGATCTTGGCGAAGTCCAGAACAACAAGATTCTTGTCATGTTTCTTCTCGTATGCATCTATGTACTATCAACATATTTCCTTATTTTTTCTGTTGCAAAAGGTCTGATGACTCCACGCAGTTTAATATCTGATTTCGTGGTGAGATATGTAAAGTAAGCAGAAGCTTTAGGTAAAACTGATCTGTATTCAACGTTGGCAATTGCCTTGTGTATATATACATACGAGATAGAGAATATACTTTAGAGAGAATATACGTTAGAGATAAGCCTAGCAACTATACATGTTTATCTCCATAATATTAGGACTTATCTACACCCTTCTCAACACTCCCCTTCAAGTTGGTGTGTGCAAGTCACAAACACCCAACTTGGACAATAAGTAATCGAAGCTTCCTCTACCCAATGCCTTCGTTAAGACGTCCGCTAACTGCTCTTTAGTGTGGACATACTTGGTAGCTATGAGACGACTCAATACTGCATCTCGTACTGCATGACAATCAGACTCAATGTGTTTAGTGCGCTCGTGAAAAACAGGATTCTTGGCTATGTGCAATGCTGCTTTGTTGTCGCAAAACATATCCATTGGACTATCTTGAGAGACCCCCAAGTCAACCAGTAAACGCTTCATCCATTTCAATTCCTTCAACCCATCAGCCATTGCTCTGTATTCCGCTTCCGCCGATGAATGTGATACTGTGTCTTGTTTAATAGTTTTCCAGTCCACCGGAGATCCTCCTAAATGAACAACATACGCAGTCAATGATCGTCGAGTAAGTGGACAAGATTGCCAGGCAGCATCACAATAGAGTTGTGTTCGCAAGTGACTGTCAGCGTGGAGCATGATTCCTTGTCCAGGCGTTCCTTTGAGATAACGAACAACACGAACTGCGGCATCCCAGTGAGACTTACGCGGATTATGCATAACTTGGGACAGAACGTGAACTGCATAGCACAATTCTGGACGTGTAATTGTGAGATAGACAAGGCGCCCAACTAGACGCCGGAACTGATATGGGTTATCATATAAAGGACCATCATCGGATAAGAGGGAGTGATTTTGCTCGACGGGAATGGAGAGAGGCTGACAACCGAGTAACCCTGCATCCTCAATGATATCTAAAGCATACTTCCGTTGGGAAAGAAAAATGCCCGACTTCCCCCTTGACACTTCAATGCCCAGAAAATATTTAGCCTTGCCAAGATCTTTCATTTTGAAGCAATTACTAAGATATGTCTTGAATTTAGTAAGCATATCCATGTTGTTGCAACTGATGATGAGATCGTCAACGTATATAAGCACTCGTAAACTGTCATCACCTTTGATGAACGTGAACAAAGAATAATCAGAACGAGACTGAACAAACCCAAATTGTAGCAGAGCATTACTGAGCTTTGCAAACCAGCACCGCGGAGCCTGTTTGAGGCCATATAAGGACTTCCGTAACCGGCACACTTTGGAAGGGTCATCTGCATTGAATCCAGGTGGCATCTTCATATACACTTCCTCTTCCAAATCCCCATGGAGAAACACATTTTGTACATCCATCTGGTGGACCTCCCATCCTTTAACAGCAGCAATCTTGAAAAGAGCACGTACAGTAGCAATCTTAACAACAGGCGCAAAAGTTTCATCATAATTCTCCCCTTCAACCTGACGGTTACCGCAAACAACCAGTCTTGATTTAAACCGCTCTACTGTACCATCTGCATTATACTTGATCTTATAAATCCATTTGCAAGAGAGGGCTGTCTTCCCTGGAGGTAACGTAGTGACATTCCAAGTGCCTGCTTCTTCAAGAGAGTTTACTTCTAAACCCATCGACTTTGTCCATCGGTCATCCTTCATCGCTTCTTTGAATGTTTTTGGCTCTACACCCGCAGTAACCGCTGCTAGGAAGGCACGATGACAAGCAGAGAAGGCATCATCACAAGTATAGTAGTGAATAGAATATAGAATGTTACCTTGGACCGCAAGAGAATTCACTGAGATGGGACCGATGAGAGGTGATGGTGTATGTTTATCAGGAGATGCAGACGCCTTGTAAGAGACGAAATCTGTGAGCTTTACGGATGGTCGTTTCTGTCTGTGACCACGACCAAGTAAGTCAGGCTGCACCGCAGGCTGAGGTTGATCGGTTTCTGCAACAGGTGGTGTAGGAACTGGTGGAGTCAGATCGTGTTCAACAGTGTCATCATCATCGGCGTCATGAGTAGGAGGAACAACAACAAGACCGGAGGGCTCTGGAGTTTCGTAGGGAAAACAAGTCTCATCAAAAACCACATCACGAGAAATAAAGAACTCCTTTGTTTGCAGATCGTACAACTGCCATCCTTTCTTGCCGTATGGGTAACCAACAAAGATACATTTTCTGCTTCTGTCGCCGAATTTATCCTTGTTTCTGGTGTAGCGATGTGCATAACATAGACATCCGAATGTCTTGATGCTTTGGTAGGAAGGAGGCTCGCCATAGAGAAATTCGTATGGTGTTTTTCCTTTTAGAACGCTTGACGGTGTCCGGTTAATAACATGAGCAGCTGCAAGGACACTTTCTCCCCAAAATTTTGTTGGTAAATTAGCCTGAAATAGTAGAGACCTGCACACATTCAGAATGTGTCGATGCTTCCTCTCAACTCGACCATTCTGCTGTGGCGTCGCTACACAAGATGTTTGATGAATAATTCCATTGTCTCTGAAGTATCTAGAGAGACACATAAACTCTGATCCATTGTCTGAGCGAACAACTTTGACAGCTTTGTTAAATTGTCGTTGGATCAGAGCACAGAAATTTGGTAGAACAACTCAAACCTCACTTTTCTCGAGTAACAAATAAATCCAAACTGCACGAGAAAAATCATCTACGATGGTGAGGAAATAGGTGGCACCACAAGAAGATGGAATTCGATAGGGGCCCCATAGATCGACATGAATCAAACCAAAACTTTCTTTTGCTTTATTAGAACTTTCATAAAAAATTTCTCGAGTTTGTTTCGACCTAAAACACACTTCACAACCACCAAATTTCTCTGGGGTGTGCTAAACACCAACAATGAAAGGTAAAAACACCAAAACACCATAAGCAGGATGACCCAGACGTCGATGCCACAATGCATGATCTTCAGCAGCTCGTACACGATTGCTTCTGACTACTGTGACGTCCCGATAAACATACACACCATTTCGAACCTCACCGGCTCCAATCAGGGTCCTCGTAAAACGGTCCTGCAGTATACATAAAGTGTCAGTAAACAGAGCAAAACAACCAGTTTGCTTCAATATTTTCGCAACAGACAACAGGGTGCAGTTCAAGTTTGGTACGAAAAGAACATTCTCCAGAATAAGCTTTGTCGATAACGAAAGCTTCCCGGACTTGGTAGCATATACTACACTGCCATCAGCAAAAGAAATAGGACAAGGAGGGATGGTGACAATCGATTCAAGAATATACACATCGCCAGTCATGTGGTGTGATGCTCCTGAATCGAGTATCACTTCTCCAGTTTGCACATTACCGTTCAGACGATCTGGGATTGGAGTTGTCTTTTGCTGCTCGAGAAGTTGTGTCAGTGACTCCCACTGTTCTGGAGTAAAATTGGGAAAGTTCGAGGCTGGTGATGCTTGTGTCTGGGCCGCATTAGAACGTACTTGCTGATTGGAAGGTGAACCACCTCTTCCACGTCCTCCACGCCCTTGAGAGTAACCTCCTCTTCCTCGGGTATTGCTTCTATTTCCTCTGTCACCTTGGTTCTTCTCTAACCACCATTCCGGGAACCCGATAAGCTGCCAACAATCTTTCTTGTCATGTCCACTACGACCACAATGTGAACAATTGCTAACTTGGCGACTTGTCATTACAGCTGCGTTGAAACCACTCTCAGCCGAAGTGCTTGTGTCTGCTTTGGTACTGAAACCCACCGTATCTTGCCTTGTCTCTGATCGAGAAGCAGACAACCGCCGTTCCTCTCGAATGACGCGCTGATAGACATTGTTAAGGTCAGGTAGTGGCTCCATCGAGATGATATTTTTCACGACATTGCCAAACCTCACCTCATCGAGTCCCATGAGAAATTGGTGAACGCGTCCTTCTTCATGCTCTTTTGTGATCTGTGTCATTGCAGAACACGTGCACGCAGGTAATGGTTTGTACGTAAGCAGCTCTTCCCATTTGGCAGACAGCTTCCCGAAATACTCCAGAACACTCATACCATCTTGTTTGCACGCCGACAGTTCCGAACGAAGCTGGTGTGCGCGGACAGAATTTCCGATCGAGAATCTTTGACGTAACTGTTCCCACAACTTGTGAGCATCGGAGGTGAACGTGACGGTGGATCTTATGGTAGGCGACATCGATGTCCTTATCCATCCCACAATCATGGAATTCACCGTATTCCATGACTCAAGATCAGGTGATCCTTCTTCAGGTTTGATCAATGTTCCATCAATGAAACCTGACTTTCTCTTAGCACGAAGAGAATTCTCCAACTCAGAAGCCCATTGAGCATAGTTTTCCCCCGTTAACTGAACCGGAGAGATAGCTACACCAGGGTTATCAGATGACGACAAGTCATATGGAGAAAGAACTTTTCTGGGTGCAACCGCGACCATGAAAAAAAAATTTAAAGTGGCTCTGATACCATGTAAAGTAAGCAGAAGCTTTAGGTAAAACTGATATGTATTCAACGTTGGCAATTGCCTTGTATATATACATACGAGATAGAGAATATACTTTAGAGAGAATATACGTTAGAGATAAGCCTAGCAACTATACATGTTTATCTCCATAATATTAGGACTTATCTACACCCTTCTCAACAAGATACGATGCTTCATACAAAGAGATGATACTATTTATATCGTCACTCCTGCACGTATCACTTTCAATTTTGTCGACTATCACATCAAATATATCTGAAATAAAATGGTGTTAGAAAATAGGATATTTACAATACACACAAGTTGTTAACAAAAATAAAAACTTCTAACCTTCTGATACATCAAAACCATGTTGTCGAAGAAGACGGAATCCGAGTGCGGTTGCATGTAAATCTTCTTCCGTATCACATTTCCAGACAATGAGGGTGATTGGTTGGGTTGTAAGTAATGACTTTAGCTTTAATTTCTATCTACAACCATTTAAATTACCAATCATGCTTTAAGTAGTTTTTAAAGCTAAAGTCAAAAAAATGGAAAAGTGGTTGTAGGAACCCTATTTTCTAAAGCAAAAAATTATTGCTGTAGGATTGTTGTAGGAATATCTTTCCTTTTATATTTTTTTTTTAATTTAATTTCTACAGCTACATTAGATACAACTACATCAAAAACATCTACAGTCTAAATTCTACAGTAAATTTTTTAAATCTACAGTTCAACCAATCACCCCCAATCTCATGGTTAAAATCATTTAGAATGTTGTTTATTTCTACCTCAAAATGATACGAAACCCCAAGTTTTTCTAAATCGTCAATGAGCTCTAATTGCTCGAGACGACTACTCTTTGTGTCAACATCAAGCATCTTCCTCACTTTTCTCTTCAGCAAATCTCTAGTTATCACGTTTTTTTCTTTCTGCATCATATAGTAATTAATAAGTCTTGAAAACTATTAAACGAAATATCAGACATAAAAAATAAAACCGTGATCTAGTAGCATGTATCCTATCCACGTGATGAATTACAACGTTGTGTTAAACGTTACAGAATTTTGTACCGCATATTGATTCTCGATGGAGAGGAGATAACGATGGTTCCAAGGTGAAGGCGAATAGTTACCGGAGCGTCGATGGAGGACATCAACAGAAACATTATCCGGAGTCGTTTTGGTCAAGGATGATCTGCATATGAACCTTCGAGGACTTTGAAGGCGAACATTGTGGGTAATGGCATTTTTGTAAATGATAGCTGAGCCCATGTATAAAGAAGCCATCGGTTTAGAGTATTATTTTGTGCTGTGAGACTATACTACACTACACACATACGTTTATATAGATAAGAGCAGTGGCGAAGTCAGTAGGAGAGGAGAGGGAAGGAAAGGGAGCACATCTGCACATGCACCTCTAAAGGTATTATATTACTCAATCAATTTTATATAAAAGTGTTTCAGAAAAAAAAATATAGAAATTATAAACAAGTAAACAACTTTTATCAATTGTGGGAGGACTAAGCCCGAAGTCAACACAGACAACACTAAACTTTAGTTTTTGTTTATCTTTAGTTTCTACATAACACCACACAAATTACTGATTATGTTTATTTAGTTTCCAAGACTAAAATAAAAAATAAAGAAATGATTGTAGGAATATGTTTTTAAAAATATTATTTAATAAGCTGTAGAAAAATAAAGAAAATGATTGTAAGAATATGTTTTCTAAAACATTATTTAATGAGCTGTAGAAAAATTGTATGAATATATATATATATATATATATATATATATATATATATATATATATATATATATATATATATGTATATATTTTTTTTTTAAACTTTCATTTAATTATGTCACTACATTAGATATAGTTACATCAAAAACATACATGCTAGATTATACAGTAAAACAATTAGAGCTTCAGTCCAATAATTCATGCACAAACATTTGGTAAATTTTGAGTGTTTAGTATTTATGAGTCATCTGACGGCTAAACCATTAAAATATATATGTATAAGTTATCTGATTTTTAAATTTTATTTTACATTAAACTATTACTTATATTCCTAAACCTATGTTTAATAGCAATTGGGAACGTGATGTATTCAGTATATACAATTTAATCACATAACACATATATCTTCAAATACAAAGCTTTTATTAATAATCAAACAGTACGGGTGCCTTCCTTTGTTAAATATAGTAGTTAATATCAATTGTGCACATGATGTATTCAGTATATAATACTAATCACATAAGCACATGCTTGGAAGGTCAGGGCTCCTCAAAAGATTTATCATCTTATGTGGCAATTGATTACGGGACATGTAGCTGTCACGAGCATCCTAAACTACAGACATATAAGATGTGACTATCATTGTTCTCGATGTGGGGAACCTGAGGAGACGATCAATCATGCAATATTTGAATGCCCTCCTGCAGTACAAGTTTGGGCACTGTCATCTACGCCAACCAATCCTATTCTGTTTCCAGGACTGAGCACTTACGCAAATATGGATTATCTTTTCTGGAGGAAGAATGCGATAATGGAACCGGAATTGGACAGGGATCCTTATCCTTGGCTAATCTGGTACATCTGGAAGGCTAGGAATGATAAACTTTTCAGAGGCATTGATAGGGATCCCTTGGAGTTAGCGCGCTATGCAGAGAGTGAATGTCAAGCTTGGTTCAAAGCCAATGAGAAGGAAATTCTGGTCTCCATTGGGAACGGAGGAGAAGACGACCAGGACTTAAACCTGGGTAATATATGCATGGTGGATGGCTCTTGGACCTCTACGAATGATTTCAGTGGCTGTGGATGGGTGCTAAATGATGAGTTCGGAAATGGCAAATTATTGGGATTGCGTAATTTTGATCGAGTGGAGTCGGCGTTGCATTCAGAGTTGGAGGCACTGCGGTGGGCTATGGAGAATATGCTTCAACATTCGCCATGTCAGAGCTTTGGAACTGATTGCAAGGAGATGATCGAGATGCTCAGGAACCCTCATGCCTGGCCTAACTTCTCAACTGAGCTGGAAAGATTGGAGACGCTGAAGATCTGCTTCCCTGATTTCAAGATCTTTTATGTTCCTAGATTACAGAACAGTGTTTCTGATTCTTTAGCTAAGACAGCTAGGGCCTTTTACCGTAAGCTTGTTTTCGTTGGTTGTTCTATTCCGGTCTGGATTCCCAGACCACCTCATGTTGCTTGAGTAATAGATCAGCCGTTTGATGTCAAAAAAAAAAAAAGAAAAATATAATACTAATCACATACTACATGTATCTGCAAATACAAAGTTTATTAATAATCAAATAGTACCGGTACCTTCCTTTGTTAAAAACTAGTAGTTAATAGCAATTGCGAACGTGATGTATACAGAATACAGTATACACTTTTTTTTGTCAATATACAGTATACACTAATCACATAATAACTATATAGGACGGGTGCCTTCCTTTGTTAAATACAGTAGTTAATAGCAATTCTGAACGTGATGTCTTCAGTATGCTGTAGAATAATAATCACATAATACAGGTATCATCAAATATAAAGCTTTTATATAATAATCAAATAATACAGGTATCTCATGGAGCTCTCGGTTTCGTGTATATGTAACAAGTTCATCTAAGGAAATAAACAAGGCCCGTTTCGGTAGACTCAGTGGCAATGTGACATGGCCCGTTTAGGTAGAGTCAGTGGCAATGCATGTGACATGGCCTGTTCATGTAGACTCAGTACGTAACAATGTGCCTGTGGCATGGCCGCAGGCCCGCAGGGGTTACTGTTCTTCAACTACAAATCTTCTATGTACACCAGGCAATGCAATAATACTCACGGTGTCACGCAATATATTTTTCTCTCTACTAAAGCTGTTTTTTCTTTTGTTCCGTCTATTTTGGTTATGGGAACATCATCGCTCGTAAATTCATCAAGCAAACTAGAGCATTCGTTTTCTAAAAAAGAACTAGAGCATTCACCCTTTTGTTATTATCATAGGAGCCGATGTTTGATAGAGCAGTACGAGATATCATTTTTCTTTCTAAAATGTATTCAACTTGAAATGCTTGAAAATGTGGCAATTTTGACTATTTGAACTTTGAAGTCGTAGTTTATTAGAGAAAACCAAGAGAATTAAAAGTTAAGCTCACCATGGAGCATGAGAAGATTTACTAAATCATAGAGAATGGGCAGATATGATAGAGAAGCTTCTCATTAGATTAACTTTTACGGGGCTTGGTTATCATTCCCTTCGACAATAACTCAAATGATCTCTATTAATGCCTTTGGTTATATAATCAACAAAAATATCAATCTCACATGATCAATTGGAAATAAAGAATCGTTTCCTTCATGGTTCATTATGCCTTACTAGGGTTAAATCCGCCCCTACATAAGCATGTAATAAACAATTAAAATTAATAAATATTTGATTTTATTTATTCTCATTTGAAAGTGAAGTAATATAAACATTCATCTATTTGTTTCAGTTATGCGTATTAAAAATCATTAAGAAGACTTTTATGTAAATGTAATTGGTTTACATTTTTTAATTGGAAGATGAAAAAGAAAAGTAAGAGTTTGGCTTCTTCGATCCGGATTTTGGTCCGGTTTCGGTTCGTTTTTTGGTTTTTCAATGTTTCAGTTTAAAAGTTAAATATCATATTCGAACCATATCTATTTGGTTTGGTTCGATTTATATACTATCGATTTTTGGTTATTCAGTTTTATAACAAAAATGACATAAAACTTGATTTAAAATGTAAAAGTACACCTCAAATTCAATTAAATACAAAAATTAACCCTAAATGCTAGTGAAATTAAAACCATCTACTTATTACCAAACAAAAAATTATATACTTTTTTGGTCACCGATGTTTATAACCCATTTCTTCTGTGAAGTTTTCTGAGGTTTTGGGAAGTTTTCTCATGTAGTAAATCTTAAAATATAGTTTGAACTTTTATTAATATTTTTATGGGGAAAATCAAAATCATGTAATTATAAACATCTGTAAATGAAATTTAGATTTACTAAAATTAAATTGTTCTTAATGTAGATGAGTGAATGTAGATTAAGTCATAATATTCTTGGGTTTAGGGTTTGGTAACATATGTCATAGTACTTTGTATGTTTTATGGTTATATTTTGGAATTTTACTTTTAGAAAACAATTGACCTACATGTGTGTCTAGTTTTGTGTATATTACACACTTTATAAGTTGATTTTAAGTTTAATGAAGTGATCGTTACTATTTAGTTAGTTATTTGATTTTAGTGTTTGAAAGACTTTTTGGGAAGTCTTCTAACAAATAATGAACTAGAATTCTGGACGAGTAGTAAACTAGGAGGGTCTTCCAAACCAAAACGAACCTTAAATTTTACCTTCAAATTTAAAATAATCAAAATTAAACAAAATTACAATAAACCTAACCAGATTATTTATTTGGTTTAGGGTTTATAATACTTCCTCTAACATGTAATGCATTAGAAGACTTCATGTGAAGTCTTCTCGAGTGAACAGTAAATTTTAGGGTTTAGAAGACTTCTTAAGATTTTTTTAGCAGAGTACTTCCGTAAAAGTTTTATGAATCGAAAATATTTAACCTAATTGGAATTTTTGTCTCACTATATAAAAAAAATTTACATATTTTCTCTCTTCTTTTCAAATGGCTACAAAAAATAATTTAATGTTTCTCACTCAAAAACTCTTCAACCTCTCTTTAATCTCTTTGAATTTGAAAACACCAAATTTCATATCAATTTCATATTTTTTTTTGTTTTATGTCTTTCTCACTAATTTATCTTGTTTTTACAGGTTTTTCATTACACGGTTTTCATATTCTACTCCTTTAAAGATAGATCTATAAATTTTGAATATGTATTTGTGTGATTTAAGTAAAATTACTGAAGATTCACTCCCTGTGTAGTAGAGACTCGCAGCTGGTGAGTGGTTCACAGCCAGAGTATCAGCTTGTGGGATTTTCCACATTGCATACCCAAGCACCCTTGATATGTTAAAGACCGAGTTAAGATCTATATACACCCAGCTTTGTCAAGATGATATTCCAGTGGTGCGAAGAGCTGCAGCAACCAATCTGGGGAAGCTTTCTACTACGATTGAATCAGCACATTTGAAGGCAGGCATTATGTCTATGTTTGATGATCTTACTCAAGATGGTAATTATTTTTTTCGGATATGGTTCACTCTGTGGCTTTGCTTGCTGGGCATGCATTTTTGGAATCACTATTAATTCTACTTTTTCTGGTGGTGGATGTAAAAAACTTATGGCTAGCAGGAATTAATGCTAACAATCATAAGCACAAACATTAAACACCTAAATGATGTCCATATGTCAATTTAGTTATCTAAATTGCTTACATTTTAACCAAGTCGCCTTGGTCTAGTGGTAAAGGAATTCTAGTTAGAGTTTTCGTCCTAGGTTCGAGTAGGTCTCGTGGCATTAATATTTGGGCCTAGAAAGTTTTTGGGATTCCTACGATTAAAAAAATGTGTTTTCCATTTTACATATCGACTTTCATATCAGAGCAAGATTATGTTAGATTATTGGCTGTTGAGGGTTGTGCTACTATTTGGAAGTTTTTGGATCCCCAGGATTGTGTCGCGCACATTCTTCCCGTGATTGCTAGTTTCTCGCAGGTGATGTGTAGACTTTTGTTAGTAATATATTTAGGCTTTTGTGCTAGTAATTTTCTTTCCGAGCAGGACAACTCGTGGCGTGTGCGGTATATGGTTGCAAATCAGCTCTACGAGCTTTGTGAAGCTGTGTGACTTGAGCCTACTAATTAAGAAGGGTTTTTAGACCTAAATGATGCTTGTCTCTATAGTGTTCCTTAGGCTCATTGGATAACATTAGATTACCCTCTCAGAGGTATTTAGGACTTAGAAGTTTGATGTTTAGGTAATGTGTCTTCTACATTAAGGACGGAGCTGGTGCCTGCATATGTGTGTCTACTTCGTGACAATGAGGCTGAAGTATGCGTAGCAGCTACTGGAAAAGTTCCTAAGTTGTGTCAGATCCTAAACCCTGAACTTGCTATTAAGCACATATTCCCCTGTGTAAAGGTACTTGCTTTAGACAATAACCCATTGTTCTCAATTTCTTACAAAGAATAAAATTATTATGAATAGTCTTATGTAATTCTATCTGTAGGAGCTATCATCTGACTCTTCTCAACACGTCAGATCTGCATTGTCCTCAGTTTTAGTTGGGATAGCTCCTATCCTGGGTAAAGTAAGCACTATTTTGCAAATATAAATGTATTGACTCAGTCTTTTCGTTCACTACTTATGTCTGGAAACTTTACCTTAATTTTTCATGACATGATGCAACAATTTAGCATCTCCTTCCAATCTTTCTTTCTCTGTTGAAAGATGAATTACCTGATGTACGCTTGAACACTATTAGCAAACTCGACCAAATGAATCAGGTTTGTTATGGCCAAGTGTCCCAATTTTTGTTTCATGGCAATAGTTTCTCAGAGATCATGTTACTCTCTTAACTTGATACCAATATTTTCATATCTGGCAGGTTATTGGGGTTGATCTACTATCACAATCCTTGTTGCCAGCAATTGTGGAGCTTGCTGAAGATAGACACTGGAGAGTAAGACTTGCTATAATAGAGTACTTACCTTTGTTGGCAAGTCAGTTAGGTGTTGGATTGTCTGTGCATGCAATGGTTACAACTTACAAGACAAGTTTTTACTTTCTCTCCCTCTCTAACCTTTATTGGAGAAAGATCATATTGTATATAAGTCCCTTTTATCTTATAAGTATTAAAGTAATGGTCTCTTTAGGTCCACTCAATCCGCAATGCTGCTAGGTGAACAATCTGAAGCTGCTTGCTGAGGAATTTGATCCTGAATGGGCAGTGCAAGATATTGTTCCTCAGATATGTCTACAATCTTTGCACCATTCAAAAATGGAAAAACTTTCATTTCATACCCACCATATCACAATATATTCAATTTGTACTTGATTTGTATGACCATGCAAAAACATACACATACTTCCGAAAAATTCAGATAACATAATTTTCTTGATCAAATCATACACCAGTCGCCACATCAGCTACCAAATCATCTAATTTTGCTGACGTAGATGTTACCTACAATTGGTGTTCAAAAAAAGAAAAAAAAGATGTTACCTACAGTAACTTTGTTGACGATGATGTCATGTGTACAATAATTTTTTCTTAAAACCATTTTATAAAAATAATTGTCTAGAAAATGTAAACATTGATACAAAAATTTGATAGCTTATAGTTTTTATTATTTACTAAAATTAACAAAACTTAATTGACTAATAAATTTTTAATCTTATATAAGAGATATATTTTGTTATAATATTTCGATGCTAGTGTTGCATTTGTGTTACTCTCGATTAATCTTGGTTATGTTGTTTACATTTAATGAGTTTAGGTTAACATATCATAAATTCTTAATTTCTTAAAACAAAATTATTCACATGATGACATGACCAATCCAAAAAAAAATTATATACGTACACATAACCAAGATTAACATAAGAATAATTGATACAATTGAAACAAGGGGGTTTTGCAAAACCAACCTAAAAATTCAAGTCAAACACAAAACCAACCTCTTTTTTTGTCATTACTATTCACCATTAAAAAGACCAAACCCTCCTCATGTTTTTCAACTATTTACAAAATTGCCATTTTTATATAATATTTTATTAATTTTGAAAATGCCAAAAAATCAATTACACCCTAAACATTTCTTCTTATTTACAACAATGCCATTATCATCAATATCCCCAACCACCATGAACCACCATTGATGAGCTCTTAAAGCTCAAGATATGAATTGTCAACCACTTATTTCACTTTTTAAACCAACAATACTTCATTTCCTCTCTATTTTCATCTAAACAATCCTCATAACTCTCATTTTTATAAACACAAACTTCATAGTTTCGATTTTATTCACAAGTGAATCGTAAAAGGTGCTTCTTTTGCTCATATCTGGATTTTGGAAAGTGGAAAAGCTTGGAAACAAGCTTTAAACCGGAAAAAGGTAACTATTTACTTGATTATCGTCATATCTCTGATCTGTATCGCGAAAGTAGACTGTATTATATGTCTACACTTACATGTAAACTTACAATGCAGTCTACTTGTCAACGCACAGGTTACTTTTGCAATTGACCAAAATAATTTTTTTTGTAGTGTAGACCTACAAGTACGTCAACGTATTTATCTTTGAAACCAAAAACAAAAAAAAATTGGTAGACTTACTAAGAAATCTACATAAAAGAGGTTAGTTTTGCATTTGACCAAACTTTTGACTTACCATAGTAGACTTTCTTGGAAGTCTACACTTTGTAGACTGCTAGGGAAGTCTACTAAAGGTCAGTTTTGCATTTGACCAAAACTTTGACTTCGTTGAATAGGTTTCTTTTGTATTTGACAAAAATGTTTAGAAACTGACCAAAACTTACTTTACGTGTAGACTTCATATGTAGTCTACAAATCTTAGGAAAAAAAAGTAGACTGTATATGAAGTCTACTATTTTATGTTGGTCAATTGCAAAACTAACCTGTCGGGTTATAGTGTAGACTTTTACTGCAGTCTACGGATTTGTAGACGTTTTGTTTAGTCTACTCGTAGAAAGTCAAACTTGGTCAATTGCAAAACTAACCTCTTTCAAACAAATTAAAAATGTAGACTGAATTGTAAGTCTACTGTTAAAAGTCAAATTTTGAACGAATTCGGGTCAATTGCAAAACTAACATTTTTTAAAATGTAAACTAAAAAGGAAGTCTACTTGTATAAAATCACAATTTTTTTTTTCAAATACAGAAAGTAACCAGTGAATTTTCTATTGCAAAAACCAACCTAAACGTAGACCTATAAGACAGTCAAAAAAATGTAAACTGAAAAAATGTCTACATTTATTTAGACAGAATATACAGTCTACATAGAAAAATCTATTAAAAAGTGGATTTGTGTATTGTTCATTAAGTTTTTTCAATTCTTTTTTGTATGAAAGTATGTGTTAGTCAATCATAAGGGTCTTCAATGATTTTCTTTTGATAATCTGTTATAATCATGAAGTTAACACATTTTTGGTTTGTCTATGTTGTTAGCTTAAAATTTGTAGACGTACTTGTAAGTCTACGTTAAAATTTTTGGTTTGACTATATTGTTTGCTAATAATTGTAGACGTACTTGTAAGTCTATTTTATAATTTTATCAAACATGAAATTTTTGTTTGCTAATTCTGTATACCGTTTTTTTTTTTTTTTTTGCAGGAGATGGCTCAATTATTCGTTGTATACAGAGAATGAGTTGTGAAAAACTCTAGATGTGTTAGCTAAAGTTTTTCCAGTTTTTTTCTTCGCACGAGCTATGATGTCTCGTCCTTGCAGTGCATGAACCAACACAGCCATCTTCACACAACACAAAACAGTACGTCAATAAAGATAAAAGATAAGTCTTTAACAACTTACTGAAAGGAATTTTCCATTTTTTTCTATTTATTGTTAACGACTCATTCCATCATTTGAAATTCATATTCATATGTCTATTTAATCAACACAGACTTTTCATTTTTTGATATTTTATTTATAACATTGATAATGTGATAATACTGAATGAATTTCGACGTTTTAGGTTATAAGTCTATATGGCTATGAACCCACCACAAGTGCCAATGGTTTCTTTCTTGTCTTTGTTTCCAAATGTCTCTACCAACACTTTAAAGGTCTAATCATTGTAATAACAGTTGAGTATCATTGAAATAAACGAGTCTTTTGTTCCATTAATTTAAATGATGAATTCTTTTGAATTCTGTACATGAGAGACATGCTTTCAAGTTCAGTTCTCAATGTTTCACCACTACCAAAACAATTTTTTTTCTTTTTTTTTTCTTTTTTGCCTTCTTCCTTTTTACAGTTTGATACGCAAAAAACCATTGGGAAAGTATGTACACATAAACCAGCACACCACAACCAAACATGCACGGAATGATCCCAACATCACCGCCATCATCATCACTTTAGTTGCTCTATGAATGTTTGGAATCACTATAGGTTTCTGTAGCTGCTTTAGAGAGGTCATAATCTCTGCAAAAATTGGTCTTAACCTTGGATCCCTAACCAAAAAAGTAAGACAATACCCATTACAGACCAGAGCTAATTTCATTAAGAACACAATGATAACCATTCCACAGATTAAAACTTACGGCTGAAGGATGGGAGAGCATAGGTGACGAGGAGGAGATGAGGAGGAGACAAGGTGGAGATGGCTGAAGGATGGGAGAGCATAGACCTTCTCTGGGAAAAACCTGCAAATATAGACAAAATATAAACCTAACTAATGAGGTTCTCAAACACTAAACATAATCTAAACAGCATAAGAAGCAAAGATCCAAGAAGTAACATTGAATCTCAATTACATACTAAAACTCTATCTTCAACAAAAAGAACAGATTGCCGAACATGGAAATATCCTTCCTTATGAGCCTCTCATCAGTCCCACACAACAGAGCATAAACCTGTCACAAAAATAGAGGGAAAAGTTTAAGACATTTGTTTATTCAACCAAGAATAAGAAACAACAAAGTCACTCTTGCTCTAAGCAAAATACACCACAGATGCCTTTATAATTTCAACGCCAACTCAACATGATTAAATGGCACAACTTTCGGCTACCTCACAACAAAAAAATACATTTTAAAAAACAGGGAATGAACAAACGCATAAGACCCCTGGAAATACATTTTATATGTATCCAAGCTTTTGTTTGGCATGTTTTCATAGACAAGCAACCTTTCTTCACCTTCAATGCAACAGCCAAGTACTCTTACTAAATTGCGATGCTGCAACTTCGAAATCACAACCACATCGTTCATAAGTTCCTCTAGTCCTTGTCTAGATGCACGTGAGAGCCTCTTTACTGCAATCTCTTGCCCTTCTGGTAACTTCCCTTGAGAAAACAAAACACACACTCAGATTACACATATCTATTGTCAGAAGGGTTCTTGTTTAATGTTTTACCTTGTAAACAGGACAAAACCCGCCTTGTCCCAGCTTGTTCATGTGAGAGAAGTAATCCGTTGATTTAGCTAACACTTGAAACTCAAAAAGTGGAAACTCATTAAACTTCTTCCATTCTGCTAAACATTAGCTCTGGTCTTCTACGGCTCTCTGGTGCTGCTAAGGCAAATAAGCAATGATTCAAACCAATTATAATTCAAGAAAACAATCTGAGTGCTATTATAAATGAATAAACAAAACTCTAACCTGAACGTTTTTTGAATTTATGGCATGCTAAAAGAAGAAAGGACACAGCTACAAACGCAGTGCCAAGAAGAAAATTCTTACAAAAAGGATACAAGAGTGCTCTGACCCAAGTTGTCATAGGGACAGGTTGAGAGTAATAATAGATACAAGCAACCAAGATCAAAGCTGCCATGATAGGATATTAGTTATAGAAACCATAAAGGATCAATCATTTGAGCTCTCTCCACTGTCTCCGAGCTCTCTCCTAGACACAGTAACAGATTGTCAAGACAAATCGAAACCCAAACCTGAAAATCCCCCAAATCGAAACCCTAAGAAAGAACTAAGAGGAGAAAGTACCGAGCTTTTGGTGGTGGTATTGAATGTCGCACACCATCATATATCATCACCACCATCCTCCTCTTCCTCTGTCTTCTCCGTCTCCGCTTCAGAAGCTCCGCCGTGGGTTCACCTTTTTCAAAACACAGTCAGATTCCAAAACTGAGAGAGATAGATAGAGATAGATATAAGAGATAGATATAGAGATAGAAAATCTGACCTCGTGGATGGTACAGAGTCATCGGGTTTCTTCATGGATCCGACCCAACTGAGCTTTGATCCATTCGCAACTTCCGGTCACCCTCCTCTTGTAAATCTTGTTGTTATGTGGCTGGGGAAAAGAAGATAAAGAGATACGAGACTTGTGTTGATAGGGTTTCGGTTTCGAGAGAGAGAGAGAGTAAGTAAGTCTCTCTCTTTCTTTTTTTTTTTAATTCTAAAATATTTTTTTTTTGATAAAAACCAATTAATTTAGACTAAAATAAACTTCTACATATACGTAGACTTTACTGTAAGTCTACTATACCCTAAATATTGGCGCCAATATAGAAAAATAGGCTCCAAAATTCATTTCACTTCCCGCTTAGTTAGTTTTAATTTTGAAATAATTTATTTTGGTAAACATAAATTAACGTAGACTGAAATAGACGTCTACATATAAGTAGACTTACATGTAAGTCTACTATACCCTAAACCAGAAATTTCAAACCCTAAACCCCAAATCTCAAACCCCAAACGTTTGATTGATTATAAAAAAAATCTTAGTCATCGTACGAAATATCATATATACAAAATATAAACTACTCAACATTAAATATGCAATTTTGAATCATTAAAACAAAATAATTCTAAATCTAGAATCTAACCCTAAGAATCTAACTCTAAAAGACATAACATGTTAGAACCTTTGGTTGCTAAACCATTAACATTGTCTACCACAGAGTTCCCAAATCAATATACATTCTTGTAAACTGTTCAATTATATGAAAATTTAATTTATATACCTCATACTAATCTTTAAATTGATGATTTATTAAAAAAATTACCAAAACCATTTTTTTACATTTTTAAAATTAAATTGTTTGATTAAATTAAGATGTAGACTAAATAATAAGTCTACATTAGTCTACACAGGAGACGTTAATGTAAGTATACCTAATTGTAGACTTCTTTTTTAAAGTGTAGACCTACAAACGACAGAATCGTAAAATATATTCCACGTTTTTTGTTTGTTCATAAAGGTTAAATAGTAGTTTTAACACTCATTTAAGTTGGGTTTGCAATTGATTGAATATGAGACACACCTTTAGGGTTAAAATGAATATTTGGGTTGGTTTTGGCAATTTCCCCTTGAAACAATATAACAAACATATATCTTATATAAGAAAAAAAAATTTAATTAAGTTTTGTTAAGTTTACGAAATAATAAAAATTATAAGCTGTCAAAAATTTAGTATAAAAAAAATATTTTTTTATAAATGGTTATTTTTGTTAACAAAATTAGCTTACGTAATATCTATATCATTAGAATTAGATGATGTGACAGCTCATGCCACGTTTTTCTGCAAACCAAACTCTTCTATCTATTGATAATGTGAATATGTGATGATGTCTAGCTAAACAAAGCTTTTTGTCTCTAAGTTTCTGTTTGATAGAATCTCAGACTTTGTAACGTAAGTAGTGAGAAATTCTCTTGTGTTCTGCTTTTTATTACGACACGCAAACACTTACTATATGAAATGGTTTTTATTGTCTTGCGACTCATTTAATCGCAGATTTTGTGCAACGAAAAGCTTAGCTGTGTTTGTTAACCTTCGGAATTGTAAGCAGCGCTTTTGCAAACAAAGGGTTTGTGCAAAAGTGATCGAATAAATGGCGCTGAAGGAAATGGACCATACTTTTCTTTGGTCACACCACAAATACTATTTTAATCTTGCGCTCAATCAATAGTAGATCTAATACTATTTCAAAATAATAATAAAAACGAACAATTTAGCATCTAAATATTGTATTTGGATACTACAATTAGGTCTCTGCATTTTACTCGGACCCGACAATTCGAATAAGAACTGATCCGAAAATACTCATCCCAAAATTAGAAAAAAAAAATTATAAATATTTATTGGCTCCAAAATTTCTCTACCCGAAAGAACTAGGACCGAAAAAATCCGATCCAAATAGACCCAGATTCAAAAAGAACCTATACAAATAGATCTGATCCGATAAGAACCGTTTCATACCGACTATAAAAATATGAATATCCAATATTATAATTCCATGGGTTATATAATCTACATTTTAGTTTATGATTTAGTTGAAATCTCTTTTTGTTAGCAATCTTCGATATTACTTTTATAGCATTTTTCAAGTAATATGAAATTTTAGATGGAAAATTTAGAGTGTAAAAATGTTTAATGTCAATTATTAATAGTGTAATATTAGTTATTTTATAAAATAAATAGATAATTATGATGAATTTGGGCTAAATATTAATCAATTTTGGCTATTTTGGTTCTTTTATATTATAAATACCCGAATTCCATCCAACCCCGTTATAGATCTAGAAATCATAGGTATTTTAATTATAGATCCAAACCGATCTGGACCAGAGAGGAATCGACCCGAATCTGGATCGAAAATTGACAAATATCAATTGGGTCCAAATATTTAGGATCCGAAAGATTCAAACCCGAAAAGAACCGGTTCGAACCTAACCCGAAGACCCAAACGCCCAGGTCTAACTATAATAGTTGACCCATCAGAGACATAACTCTTTCACATGAGCAAGTCAATTTTACATGAGCAAGTCAACTTCTCACATGTCAAAGATAAACGAGCTCCCTAATCTCCAGAGCATAGCTTGTCAGTTTCGAATTATTTATAAGACTTAGTGATTTGATATTCCTGTTACTATTATATATTTTCAGATCTACATTAGTTTAGCGGACGTAGTAAGGGATGTTCGGGGTCACGTTCCCCCGTCTCATTCTTCATTTTCTTTAAGTAATTAAGGTTAATACAATATAGTGAAAAAAAATTATATGCTCCCAGTTAAATCCAGCTCTAGATCCGCCACTGTTTCTAGCTAGGTTTAAGAAGAGGACCCTCTGTTTGAACTCCCTTCTTTTCTTTTTTAAGCAACAATGGAAGCTATTGCGAGCTTTGCCTTTGAAAATGGTTTAACCTTAATCCTCCTAAGCATCTTCTCAACCTTTTTTCTTTTTGCCTTCTTCCTCAAGAAACCGAAGAAAGTCTTTGACCTACCTCCAAGCCCTCCTTCTCTTCCTATCATCGGTCACCTTCACCTTCTCTTCACTACTTCACTCCACAAGTCCTTTCAAAAAATCTCATTCAAGTACGGACCCTTGCTCCATCTCCGCATCTTCAATGTCCGCATCCTTCTCGTCTCCTCTGCCTCACTGGCCTACGAGATCTTCAAAGACCACGACATGAGCATCTCCTCTCATGGTCCTATTGGCATCGATGAATGCATTGTGTTTGGTTCTTATGGCTTCCTCAAAGCTCCCTATGGAGATTACTGGAAGTTCATGAAGAAAACTATCACCACTAAAGTACTAGGACCCCAGGCGCTGGAGCGGTCACGAGACCTTCGTGCAGTTGAGATAGAGCGGTTCTACAGAGATCTTCTCGATAAGGCGATGAAGAAAGAGAGCGTTGAGATCGGTGAGGAAGCGTTGAGACTTGTTAGCAGTGTCCTAGGGAAGATGAGTTTGGGAAGGAGTTTCTCAGAGGAGGAGAGAGTCTCTGAGTTTAGTGGTGAGATCGCTGCCTTGACACAGAAGATATTTTTACAACAAGTACTGCGTAAGCCGCTTGAGAAGATAGGGCTCTCACCACCGTTTAAAAAGGAGGTGATGGATGCTTCTTACAAATTCGAGGAACTCCTAGAAAAGATCATTGTGAAATACGAAGAGGAAAAGGATCAAGGTAGTGAACTTATGGACACATTGTTGGCAGCTTGTGGAAACGAGGATGCAGAGTATAAGATATGTAGGAGCCATATCAAGGCGTTATTAGCGGTATGGCCATCCTCTCTCGTTTGGTTTAGCCGTTTAGGATAATATTTTACTGAAAATCCAAACTAGACCAGTGCACTGAATTTTATTTTTTAACTTATTTGGTTTGTCTCAATTTGGAAATAATCCCCCAACAAAACATTTCAGACCAAATATATATATATGTGTGTGTGTGTGTGTGTGGTATGAGATGTTTTGTTCAAATTCGGGTTCGTTTTGGTTTTTGATTAAATAAACATGGAAAATTTCAATAGTTGCACTATTTTTTTTACAAAATAACATACATATTTAAAAATCATAAAATAACATTCATTAAAGAACAGAATACCAAACTACTTTTATTTTTACTTCAAACAAATATTTTCTATAAGACATAAATATTTAAATATTTACCATCCTAGATTTTAATCCCTAAACTCAAAAACTAAATCTTAGAAATATATGTGTTTTCATACTTCTTAATGACTATTATTTTATTATATTTTATTTTAAATGTTATATTTTTTTTTTTTTTAAAACTTGTTTTATTTCTGGTATTTTTCAAAATATATTATAGAAATTAATTCATAACAAAGTTGTAAAAATATTATATTTTTGTTTACATGGTTGATTAAAATTATTAATGAATAAACTTAGGTTTATTTAGTTATTTTTATTGCATATATAAGTAGTTTCCGCTGAGGTTACACTTGAGTAACTGAGTATAGAGATTTATGTTATTTTTGAACAAAACCTTGTTTTATTATAGTTTAGAAATGAATTAATAATTTTTTTAATAAAATTATTAATCTTGTTTGTTTATATGGTTGATTGAAAGTATTAATTAAAAATGGCTTATTCGGTTAATCTTTCGTGTGTATATATAATTCTTGTTCTACTTAGGTTACATTTGAGTAATTCAGTATTTATGTTATTTTCAACCAAAAACTTTTTTTATTGCTCGTATATATAATTCATGTTCTACTTAGGTTACATTTGAGTACATTTGGGTCCTATTCGGGTTTTGGTTCGGGTTTTCGGATTCATGAATTTCAGCCTCATTCGGATATTATAAAAAATTGGGTCGGATTCGGTTCGAATTTAGTCGGGTTCGGTTCGGGTTTAGTAACATGTCCAAGATCCGGTTGAACCGGATATAGTTTCGGTTTCGGATATTAATCGGGTTATCGGTTTTAAAAATACTAATTTATACTCAATTAAAGTCACTATATTTTCCATCATTTTATTAAATTTGTGTATTTAGCTTCTACAAACCATATTGTTCTCCTTCAAAATAATATTGTGAAACTCGTCTATCAACCATATAAGATTTGTCATTGAACTATATGTGACAATACTAAACTTATCATAATTACTAACAAACCAAAGCCTTGTATGAACGAAAATCATATATAATGAAACATAAATATATAAAGTTAATAACTAACAATTCTATAAACGTAAGAAGTACTATTTAAACTTTTTAAAAAACATTATTTAAACTTCAAAACAAATTTATTCGTAACTTAACTTCAAATGTATTGTCAATCATAAACATTAATACTGACCAAATAACACTATATATTAGACTAAATATTTGAGTTAATAATTCATATCATAACTAATTATTGTAGGTACTCAATAATATATTAATGTGTTCTGGAAACATATAAGAAATTTAGATTGGATATGATACAAGTTTTTTTAGAATTTTAAAGTTTCGGGTTTTTTCGGATATCCATTTAAGTTCGGGTTCGGTTTGGGTAAATCCCATAACCCAAAATACCGTAAAACAAGATCCGTTCGGTACTTATGTCGGGTTCGGATCAGTTCGGGTTCCTTTTTACCGGGTCGGATTTTCGGGTTCGGTTTTTTTTTTTGCCCAGCCATAATAGAAATTAACTAATAATATAGTTTTCATAAAACTATTATTATTTTTTTGTTTCCATGGTTGATTAAAATCATTAGTTTAATACATTTCGGTTTGTTTGATTAATCTTTTCGATTATATACTATAATTCAGGTTCCGCTGAGGTTACGTTTGACTAATTCTGTAGAGAGATTTATATATTGTTCAAGTTATTAATAAGATTCCATCACTTTTGGTTCAGCTTGAGTACTTATAGTACACCATAACCCACTGAACCAAAATTAGTAAAACTACAGTAATTAAATATTATTAAAATTAGCAATTGTAGGAGCTTTTCTTTGGAGCTGGTGACACCTCTTCAAAATCAACACAATGGGCAATGGCTGAAATCCTCAACAACCATAAGATCTTTGAGAGACTGAGAGAAGAAATAGACTCAGTTGTAGGAAAAACAAGGTTGATCCAAGAGATTGATCTACCAAAACTCCCTTACTTGCAAGCGGTCATCAAGGAATCTCTAAGATTACACCCACCGGGTGCTCTCTTGCCAAGAGAATTTGAACAAGGGTGTAAGATTGGAGGGTTCTACATACCTAAGGGCACTTCACTTGTTATTAATGCTTATGCTGTAATGAGAGACGCTGATTCTTGGAAGGATCCTGATGAGTTTAAGCCAGAGAGGTTTTTAGGGGAAGAGGATGCAAGAAGGGAACATGTTCTGAACTATCTTCCTTTTGGTGCTGGAAGGAGAGGATGTCCTGGATCAAACATAGCCTATATATTAGGAGGGATCACTATTGGAGTGATGGTGCAGTGTTTTGATTGGAAAATTGAAGGAGATAAAGTCAACATGGAAGAGGCTACTGGAAGAGCTTTATTGGCTTTGGCTCACCCCCTGAACTGCACTCCTCTTCCTCGAACCCTGAATCTTTTACCTTCAAGTTTGTAGATTCTTGGTTCGTGAATTTCGAGTTTGTCCCTCTCTTTTTCAAATAAATAATGGTTCGGAAGATTGTTATTGCACTTGTTTTATTTGTTATCAACAACGTATAATGTAAGCATGTTTTGAATCCGAATGGTGACGTTTCAACACACTAGCTAGCAATAACAACTAGAACCGTAATATAACACGACCTATTTCTTTACCAATCAAAATTTTATTTGTCTTTATAAAAGAGTTTCACAATATAGAAGTTATTTAAGTTTGACTCCATCATTTAGTCCATCAGAAAAAAAACACCATGATAAAAAGATCTCTTTCTGCTCAACCTACTTGTTATGTTCATGTAGTTTACAGTCTTGCCCTAATTCTAGAAGAAACCTCGAGTTCAAGGTTCAAAAGTTAGTACATAGAAGGAAGCTCAAACCATATTAAACTAATTGTTCTTTTGAGAGCACACTATTCTCAACGGAAATCAAATATATACTCTACTAGATGATCCAAGAGTTTTAGCCGCTACACCAATTCCTAGTCTTCTTATTCTATCATATTTTTCCCTCATCAAATATGTGCTCCTTCAAGATGATTCTTCAACCTTTGTAGTCAACTTGGCAGAGGAAAAGAAAATGATCAGAGAAGCACAAGACAAAAATAAAATACAAAGACTAATCTTTACTTCAACCAAAGTTTACTGCAAGTCTAATTCACAATGCATTTTGGAATCAGGAAACTGATACTCATTTATTATCTTCGGTCGCTAAACTCGAGATATGGAGGCTTTGGTATGTGATCAGGAACAGAAAGATGATACTCTTCCACATACTAACTTCTAATGTGTTTTGAAGTTTTGGAGTCCTTGAGAAAATATCAAATTGCATATAAATTTGGGGGCAAAAGGAAAAAAAAAAAAATTCAGTGTTCACTACTCACTTGGATCTAAAGTATTTAACAGAAAATAATTTAAGTTTTTTTTCCAACAAATTACAAGAAAAGACAAACAAAGAGAGTTGTTAAATTGTAGTTACAAGGCGTTGCTTCTTATTGCTCCTCAACGACATCTCCGTTTCTTCCTTCACAACATCGTTTCGACACATAACCGAAGCAATGTCAACGCCAAATAATCTCACGACAACCCGACCCGTATCCTGATCCGACCCGGCCTTTGACTTCCACCCAATATACAACTGCTGATCCTGACCGTTAGATCTTCTAAAACTGATCAAATCACCGGCACAGAGTCTCTTCTCTTTAACGAACCTACTCCAACCTTTAGTCAACACATAACTTTGACTACTGTTCCAATACGAGTAACGGAACCTCCACACTTTCCCGTCAACGTCTTCGAAATTTAACAGCGTCCCTCTCACGGAAACATCCCCCGTTAACGGTAACGGAAAATATTTCTCCGCTTGATTTTTCGGTATCACTAAACGGTTTAGCTTCCCCACGTCACTCGGCGTTACCGTTTTCTCAAACAGACACTCCGCCGTTTTAAACCCCGTCGTAACCGTAACGTTAACAAACGCCGTCTCTTGCGTCTCTCCGTTACCGTTACCGTTACGTTTACGTTTCCTCTGCTCTAACTCTTCTTTGTAAGTGTGTTTCCTCAACATATCAACAATCTCATATTTAGAATGTGCGTTTAAAAACTCTACTTCTTCTCTAACGTCACCGTTATCTAACGTCGTGTCTGGTTTGAAGTTAGTGACGGCGTCAGGGCCGCGGAAACGGAGAACGGCGACGTCGTAAACACGCGCCGCTTCTTCTTCTTCGTTGAAAGTGCCGAGCCACACGCGCTTGTGCTTCTCGTATATCTGAGCTCCCCATCTTCCGTTTGGCTGAGGGACAACGCCTTTGAATCTTGAGGAAGGGAGCTTTCTTGATTCTGCTTCGACGCCGTTCTCGGAATCAAGAACCACGCTTGACCCACTTCCCATTCTGTATAAACTCGCCGGAGATGATGACTTTGCCGTCGTCGGCGGCGGCGGAATCTTGGCGGGAGTGTGAGTGGAATCTGTACTTGTTGAAATCTCGGAAACGCTACTCAGATCTTCCATATTAAAGGAATCACAAGAAGTTTGTGAGATTTGAGAATGGAGAGAGATTTGATAATGTTGTGTGAAATGTTATGTGTGAACATGTGTGACAATAACGTGTATATATAGAGAGACAAGAGGGAAATAAGAAAACATTAAGTGCATGTATGTTTTTAATATTTTGTTTTTAAATATTATTTTAGTGTGTTTTAAGGAGATAAAGTAAACATATGGGCAGGTGTATGGGTTTTTTTGTGTGTGTATGTTGTGGTGGGTCAACTTAAATTCACAAGAAGGTTCATACAATAAGAATTTTTTTTCATCAATATTAATAAAGAATACAGTAAATCTTTTACAGCATATGTTGTATTCCATTTCCTTTCATTTGACATAAGCCCTTTCTTTCATTTGACATAACTAACTTCTTGTTCGAGTATGTGGAGATTACCACGGCAGTACTTTTGACGCTTGAAAACAGCCGCATCACTATTTTGAGTGTCGTTATTTTACAGTGTCAGAATAGCCATCGGAAATTCTTGTAAAAGTTGATCGCAGGGTCACTTGATTATTATTTCACTTTTGTTTTTGCCTAATTTGATTGATGACTAATTTTTGATTGCCACCGTACCAAACTATCCCCACAGTTTGTTAGATACTCCCTCCATTCTAAAAATAAGATTTTCTATATATTTTTTTGTTATAGATAGATTTTATGCATTAATGTTCTGTTCAAAAAGACAAATCAATTGATTTGTAATAATCTTTACAGTGATTACGTAAATGAAATATGTGGTTGATAAAAAAAAAAAAACGTAAATGAAATCTTTGGGTTATGATAAAATTTTACTCTCTAAAAAATATGAATGGTTGAGAAAGAATGTGGAATTCTTGGTAAAAAAAATGTCAGCAACTAATTAAAAATTTATTTCAGTAAATGATTAATAAAATTAGAGTAAAAATAAAAATAAAAGTGTGTAACTATTATTTCTTAATGTGAGAAATTTCTATTAAAAAATCTTATTATCCGAACGGAGGGTTATTATTTTTCCAGACGATATATTGTTAGTGTAATTTCTTTTGTTCATGACCAAAAAAAAATTATATGGAAGTGGGGCAGGGCTGGATAAAAGGGATTCACATGAAAATTTTAATATTATTTGAAGTTCATTCCCCCTGAGCTTTTGATAGCCTTATTTACAAGCATGGTGTTCTTTTTTTCTCTGATAAAGAACAAGCATGGTGTTCTAAAGAAACCAATTATTATAATCATAAGGAATAGATTAACAATAACGAAAATATTGTTACGGTTTATTCCTTTCTTACTGAAAATTAATATGTTAATTTAATAATTTTTTGTGAGAAATCTAACTGATTTTTTTCACACGGGGAATCATTTGCAAGCATGAATGCTCCATGTATACAAATAATATGGTCGATAATCTCGGAATAATATGCCTTATCTTTATTCCATTCTTCGTATATTCTCAAGCATCTTTACTATAATGGGAAGCATGCGGATCATAATACTAATACTATTTTGCAGAAGGTTGAATGCGATATTAAAACAACATTTGAGGCTCTGACTTCTGATTATGTATATCTTTCATCTAAAACGAATACTGTAAATACTAGGGTCTATTATATAATCTTATAAGTTATATAACCTAATTTGTGTCCGTAAACTAATTTGTGGACAATGGAGAATATGCTTCAACATTCGCCATGTCAGAGCTTTGGGACGTATTGCAAGGAATTAATAGCGATGCTCACAAATCCTCATGGATGGCCAAGCTTTTCGACGGAACTGGAGAGACTCTTGACGCTAAAAATTTGTTTCCCAGATTTTAAGATCGTTTATGTACCCAATGCTCAAAATGTTGTGTCTGATCATTTAGCAAAGACTACCCGGTCCTTCTATCGTGAACTGATGTATGTTGGTTGTTCTATTCCGGTCTGGATTTCCAGACCACCTCAAGCTTAAGTAATAGATCAGCCTTTCGGTGTCAAAAAAAAAAAATTTGCACTCCGTAAAATCTCGTTTAGTCTGATAGCTGACCAAAACGTTACGTTTTAACATTAGAATTTTGTTTTTTGTCAACTAACATTAGACTATGTACAATAAGGGTGTTGAATAAAAGATTCAACACTACAATGAGGGTGTTGAAAAATAAAATTTAATGATGTAGATTAAACTATGTTGAAAAGATTCAACTAGTTGAATAAGAAGAAAGTGGGAACCACTGACGACACATGTCATTTTTCTAAGTTTTTTGATATTTTCATATATTCTTTGTTTTTTTAAAACCAATTATTTTATTATCAAAATAATTTATTTTTATTTTTGATATGAAAATCTATCAATAGAGACTAAGTTTATTTAATTTGGATATTTAAAAAAATAATCATTAGTTTGTAAAATATGGTGTTAAATTTTATTAAACAAAACTATTGTATTAGATAAAAATTAAATATATATTGAATGATGAGATAGAAGAAAGAGAAAATGATATCGAATGTAAAAAGATAAGTGAAGGATGTTGAATCGTGAAACTATTGTACATAGTCTTAGAAAGTTTTAGATTCGCTTTCTATATGTTCTGATTTTTATAAATTTTCCGTGGCAAACTCATCGAAAAAAATATTACTATATAGCACAAATAGAGATGTTTGTCTGTTTTTTTGTTTATTTTAATTAACTTGATTATCTCAGACCCATAGAGAGATTCAGACTAATCTCTAAATACTCTTCATTCTAGTATACTTATCCATCAAATAAAAAACTAACCAATTGTACATGTAAAAATGATGTGTCAATTTTTTAAAAAATAATTATTTAAATTCATCATATTAATAAAATTAAATATAAATATATAAATAAAAACTCAAATATAATTAAGATTAAATTAACATATAGAACAAATTAAAAAATACATAAAAATCAGAAAGTTCAAATAAATAATAAAATTCAATAATTCAAAATAATTTATTTATATTTATTTACAAGATTAATTGTAAGAAAATGATATATCATCATTAACAATAACAATTTCAAACATATCAAAGATAAAGATGATAATTTCTCACATAACCATTAACAATGACTTTTTTAACATATCTCCAATGACAGTTTCTGACATCATCGTTGAAAATGATGGTAGATATGTCAATAACGATTTTTCGACAACCATCGTTTAAAAACAATAGATGTTTGACAAAATAACAATGTTTTGATAGTGACGGTTGTCGTTACTAACATATCTACCGTCATTTTCAACAATGATGTCGGAAACTATCGTTGGATATATGTTCAAATTATCAGTTTTAATGGTTATGTAAAAAACTATCAACGTCATCATTGGGGTAACCCTCATCGTTGATATGTTTGAAACTATTAATGCCAGTAATGATATGTCGATTTTCTTAAAAAAAATATTTTACATTTTTTATAAAAACTGTTTTTAAATTTTAAATTTTAAATTTTAAATTTTCAAATTTTGAAGTTTAGTTAATTTTTGATTTTTAAAAAATTTCTATATTAATTAAATTAATTAAATTTCTGATTTTTATTTAGTTTCTGATTTTTTTTTTAATTCATTGTTTTAAATTAAAGGATAATTCTCACAAATAATTATTTTTTAAGTTTTCGTCTCAAAAATAGTCCTGAAAAAATAGAATGACCAAAATAGTTCTTTTTATTTTTAAATTTTTAATATTTATTTTTATTTATATAAATTTGAAATTCTAAACCTAAAACCCCACCTTTTAACTCTAAACTCTAAGTCTACGGTAGTTAATCCAAAGATATAAGTGCATATTTATCCTTTAATAAAAGATTATTTTGTCATTTTCGTCTTTGAATGCTATTTTGTGAAAATAAACTAAAAAAAAACTACCTAAGGGAATTTTTATTAATTAAATTATTTTTTTTGGAAAAAGGTGACACATCATCGACTTTACCTGTACATCATATCATCTTTTACTCGGTGAACAAGTAAATCACATTTAAGATTTTTTGTAATACAAATGTTACTTTAGATTTTAAAGTTATAATTGAAATATTTCAAAGTTTAAAGTGTCAATAAATGTTATTTTCATGGTTTTCATTTAATTTCCCCAAAAAACGACGATAATCTCAGTCAATCTCATCGATTTTGAATGTACATCAGATCATTTTTTACTTGATTAATAAGTAAGTCACTTTTAAGTTTTTTTTTTGTGACATAAATGTCACTTTGGATGTTAAAATGATAGTTTTAAAATTTCAAAGTTTAAAATTTCAATAAATGTTATTTTCATGTAATTTTCGCAAAAGAAAATCCGACGACAATCTCCATCTATCTCTTCTTTATTTTAATAGTCAAATTAATACCAAAATTTTGGTGTTTATACAATTATACAAGATGATTATCCGCGCGCATGCACGAAGTGAAAATTATTTATTAATAATTGTTTAATACAAAATTTGATCGGTTAACCATCATGTCAAGGTCGATAAGTAGAGTCATGTTTGTTAATATTTTTTTTTCAACCTATTAATTTACATTGGGCTTCAATGCTATCATCCAGATTTTATAATTCACCATCTCACTTCGATATGAAAAATTGTATTTTTGAAATGATACGATCAAATAACATTTGAGCTCCGCGCTATGAACATTACACATGTATACAAATTATTTATACATATTAATATGTATTATGTATTTATTTACGTATTATTCAGTAATAAATATATTGAATAATTGAGAAATGAGTAACTATTGGGCTTCAATGATATCACCCAGATGTTATAATTCACCATCTCACTGGAATAATCACATAAATTAAAGCAATCTCTCTTTTTATTTATAATAATTTTTTTTGGTAAGAAGTCAAAATGATCATTTATAAATTTTCTATGGTATGTAATTAAAGTTAAATGATTTGACATAGATAGATAGTATATTATAACATGAATATTTATTTATTGAAAATTCGTACTCATATGATTTCATTAACATTTTTATATTTTCTGTAACAAAAATATTATTTTTATTAATAGGAATTTTTATCAATTGAAGCTTCATATTCCATGTAAATTTTGAGATTAACATG